GACAGAGTAGCTCTCTATGGAAAACTAACTGGTGTGACAGCTTGAACCCCAGAATGTCTCACAAAACAGCTAAATATACCTCTGTAAAGACAGAAGGTAAAATAATGCTAGTGCTGTGAATTCTCTCTTCTTCTCGTGCGAATCCATAAACTGCCACTGATAGACAGAAAGGAGCTCAATGAGAAGACACCTTAGACTCAAGGTCTCCACCGAACAAAAACCCCTTCAAGTGAAAGCAGCACTCATGCTTTCTTCCCTTACCCTTTGGAGGACCCAGTTTCCCGGTCAGTGACTATCCTTGCCCGAACAGAGCCGTCAAATGACTCCTTTAATGTCTCTTCAGTGGTATCCTCAGACAGGCCTTTGACAAACAGAGTTTTGGATGGCTCTGGGGAAGAAAAAAAATTGTGACTTTATGTGAAGTCACAGTTCGTAGTAACACTGAATTTGCACAATGCCTGGTATGACTACTGGCCAAGAATGCTTGTCTTAGTGGAAAAGCAGTGAAAAGCAACTAAGCCAACTAGTCCTTAATTAAAGTAAGGCTATTCTGAGTTTACATTTTTTAAACTGCCACTGCATAGTTGATATTCTGCCCCACATCTTCTATGGAAAGTGGGAGAAGAACCCAAGCAGGTGCTGCCCACTGGATGGGGCAGGAAATCATGGGCAAACTTGCTGCTCTGAGTTGACACAGCTGGATCAGAACTTGACTATCTAGAGGAATCTTCTTGAGATTTCATCAATTATTTCTCAGGTAATCAGTCATCATATCCAGTTATTGTTCACTCAGTAGCAACAGGAAACACAGAATTTGTGCAAAAAATAAACACCAAAAGCACTGAGAGTGCTACCCCCAACCACAGCATCCTATCCAGGTGAACTTACGGCTTCTGGCATTAGGTGATCCCCTGGGTCCTTGCAACTCCAGCCTGATTGCTCTGCCCTCAATTTCCCTTTTATTACAGGAATTTAAAGCTTCTTTAGCATCTTCGAATGAAGCAAACTCTATAAATGCATACCTGAGGATGAACAGTTAATGCTTAGAGTAAGTTACCAAGCACGTGCTCCTTCACTGTCACAAGATGCTGCCAAGCCTTCTCTCAAGTTGGTACCTAAATGACGCTCTTTTACACTCATTTACGTAGCTAAAATTATTTGGCTTTTCTGACAGGATCACATGACCTTACGTTCCTTTAGACCTGTAAGACATATATAGCCTGTAACTGATATAAAGGTATTAATTATCTTACCCTTTAGATTTGCCATTTTGGTTCTGGGGTACTTTGATAAAAGTTGCTTTCTCAAATACTTCCTGAAGAGTTTCTTCTGTTGCACTGTAGGAGAGGTTGCTTAAAACCAGAGTTTTTGATTCACCTGCAAATAGAGATGCCACATTCCTAAGACTCTGAAACAGTGGTTCCCAGCTTCGGTCAGAGCAGTAATATTTTATTCCTAAGCATTTCAGTGCTTGAAAGAGTTAACACACAAATACTGATGATGTAAGTGAAATCCACTTTTGTTACTCAACATATTAAGTACTTAGTACATATTGCAACGTTCTGGTGGTGGTTCTTTATGTATAGGCTGACTACTGGCCTGTTTTCCTAGAACAATAATCTGAGTTCAAAACACACATAGTCGGCCGGGCACGGTGGCTCAAGCCTGTAATCCCAGCACTTTGGGAGGCCGAGATGGGCGGATCATGAGGTCAGGAGATCGAGACCATCCTGGCTAACACGGTGAAACCCCGTCTCTACTAAAAAATACAAAAAACTAGCCGGGTGAGGTGGCGGGCGCCTGTAGTCCCAGCTACTCGGGAGGCTGAGGCAGGAGAATGGCGTAAGCCGAGGAGGCAGAGCTTGCAGTAAGCTGAGATCCGGCCACTGCACTCCAGCCCGGGCCACAGAGCGAGACTGTTTCAAAAAAAAAAAAAAAACACACACACACACATAGTCGAAGTCATTTAAAGTATAAAACATACCTACAAAAAGGAAGCTTGATTTGCCTACTGTATTCCAATGCAAAATGATTTTACAGCTCTCATTCAAGATTGGAAATTACTATTCCAAATAAGAGTATAACTTAGGGTATAATGTCCTTGATCTTCACCTACATTTAAGTAACTTTGATTAAAAAGTATAAACTTATGAAGTACAAAGACACAAAGGAGTTCCCTCCATCAATTCTGGAACCCAGTAACAAGCCTAATTTCTTACCACTCCAAGTGCTATTCTTTCCACCTCTATAGTCTTGATTTTGACCTTTCTCTCCGGTATAGTACAGGGAAATAGATCGCCCATCAATCTCTGTTCCCTGCTTTTCCTCAAAGGTTTTCTCTGCATCAGCTTCTGTCTTAAATTCAATATAAGCAATCCTGCAATGGAGGGAGAAGAACTCATGGTTTTTAAAATCACATTAACACAAATGCTTTTATACCTCAGCAACACAGAACTTGCTTCAGATCTGAATACAATAAATGCCCTTAGTTTTATGCTACTTTTCAATCAAACTTGAGCTTCCCTCTTACTTCCCACTACAATTTTACAAATACTCAAAATTTTTTCACAGTAACCTCACCTCACTGAACTACTACTCACAAAATATTTGTTGTAAGCTAGGCACATTTCTTGCTCCTTTATATGTATTACCTTGTCTTTTAAAATCACCCTATGAGTACGTTATCCCCATGGTACAGATGGGTAATTGAGGCACAAATTTACAGGTTAAACTGCCCAAAATTACACACCTAAGAAAATCAAACCAACATTTCTTTTATAAAGCAGGAATGTGTATTCATGTTAAGAAAACCCTTACATTTCAATAGACAGAACATACCCTTTACTTTTCCCATCCTTGCTGACTAATCTGATCTCCGCAGCATCTTCAAACACTTCTTTCAATTCATCCTGAGTAACTTTGTAAGGGAGATTTTTAGCCAAAAGCGTTCTCGCATCTCGCTCTAGATTAAAAAAACAAAAATGAGCTCCATGGCCTGAAAAACCAAAGGTGGGGGGCAACAACAAAGAGGGGGAAAAAAAAGACATAGCTCTATTCAACAAATAATTTGAGATCCTATAATGTACAAGGCTCTGTGCCTTGGAGATATAGCAGTGTCAACACACAAGTGGTCCCTCCATGTTGTCACAGCTGATGTCAAACTATCCGCTGGGTACACTAGAGTTCAACCTGGAGTAGATGCATATTATTTTTAGAAACAAAAAAGGTGAACGTACCAATTTAAAACATTACAACATTACAACTGTACATAGAGAAATAAAGTAAAGGATGCAAACAGTAATTAGGGACCTAATCTAGTTTCAGTGAAGACCCCTTTACATTAATTTAGGTGCATCTAATAATTCGTGTTCTGTATAAAAGTGCTCTTGCTTGCCTAACTCAAGAATTTACACTGTAACACTAGCAAGCAGTGCCAAGTACTCTTGTAAACACCAGCTCATTTAATTCCCACATTAAGAGGAAACCAAGGGGAAAAAAAAATTTAAAGAGAGGAAACCAAGGGAAATGGGTTACAAAGCATTTTCCCTAGCAGTCTAGCTCCTGAATTTATTGCATAATCTCCTAAAGCCTTACATACCCTTCTTACTGTCTTTTCCTTTTGGTTTCTCTAGTTTAATTTCATTGCCAAAGACTTTCAAACCAGTGAGTTCCAAGGCTTTCTCCAGGTCTTCAGCAGATTCAAAATCCACATAACCAAATTTCCTTCAAGGTGGAGAGAAGGGCAAAATTACAACAGATGAAAACACAAACTGAAATCCACAATATGTATTCTAGACAAATGTGATGATGCAAACAAAGATCACATTTTAAAAAGCACCCCTAATATTAGCAAAACAAAGTCAAGGCTCTGCAAATTGTAGCTACAGAATAAGGTCTCAGTACGGAGATATGACGTGCACATTCACGTTTGAGGTCATCATCATTAGCTAAATTGCTTATAACAATTCACAGTAGCAGCTGACAAAAGAACACCTGTAAGCACTAATACAGGAGAATCCTGCCTGGATAAAAGCATTCACTATGATGACTAGTCAGGTCTAATAGTTTCAGGTACTTCCAAGAAAATAAACATCAAATTATTATTATTTTAAACTGAGACAGAGTCTCGATCTGTTGCCCAGGCGGAGTACAGTGGTGCGAACTTGGCTCACTGCAACCTCCGTCACCCAGGTTCAAGCGATTCTCCTGCCTAACACCAACACTGGTGCCTCAAGACCCCAATTTAGGCTGGGCACAGTGGCTCACGCCTGTAATCCCAGCACTTCGAGAGGCCAAGCTGGGTGGATCACTTGAGGTCAGGAGTTCGAAACCAGCCTGGCCAACATGGTGAAACCCTGTCTCAACTAAAAATACAAACATTCGCCAGGCGTGGTGACGTGCACCTGTAATCCCAGCTACTCAGGGGGCTTAGGAAGGAGAATCATTTGAACCCGGGAGGCAGAGGTTGCAGTGAGCCAAGATTGCGCCACTGTACTGCAGCCTGAGCGAAAGCCAGAGTCCGTCTCAATAAAAAACAAAACAAAACAAAAAAGACAAAAAAACTTACTAAGATTATTCTGTGCTATACCAAGTTACAACTGACTGGAAATTGCAATCCAGGGACTCTATAGTTTAATTGTAACTTAGTTCACTAATGCTAATCCTTGAAAATGTTTACACTATTCATGTTTAGGAGTGGCAGGCTAAAGTAACTGTGCTAATAAGGGAAGGAAAAGTATTAACAGACCCATGTGTATGTAATGTGCATGAAGCACTTACCTAGTCATACCAATTCTGACATCCACAACAGCAAGATCATTTTTAGCAAAAACATCGCTGATACCAGTTTTTAACTCAGGAGCAGATTTGTTAAAGTTTAGGTTTCCAACAAAGAGATTGAAAGCCGTAGTCGGTTCTGTGCCTATACAAAAAAAGCTGAACTCAGTCTACTTGTGAAGTGTGGTAAAAAGTTAGTTTCCAAAGCAAAATTTCTATACACAGCACATCAGCACACTGCAATGTAACATCATGTTTCAGTATTAAGTCCCTTTGTCATTCATCATTTGTGCTGTTTATCTCCCCCACATCCCCTAATTCTGCAAGTTACCTTCCACTTTCTGTTTCTTGGCTTCAGGAGCTGCTTTCTGTTTGGCCATTTCCTTCTTTCGTTTTCCAGGTGCTTCTTTGACAGGCTCTGGACAAGATGTCAATGTATTACCCATCAATAGCCACAAACACTTAAGTGCCTCCTTTAAACAACTCATGTCAATGTATGTCAGAATCTAATTACCTTCCTCCTCCTCTTCTTCCTCCTCATCTTCATCATCATCATCTTCATCCTCATCATCTTCATCGTCGTCATCATCCTCGTCCTCATCATCCTCTTCTTCATCTTCATCCTCAGCCACGTTCTTGGCTTTCACAGGAACAACTTTTGCAGCTTTCTTTCCTTTGGCTGGTGTAGTCTCCATAGCTTCTTCTTCAGAGTCTGAAAGATAAGCCACCTAAAAATTGCAGCAATCTCCCAAAACCAACATCGGTTTTAAAATCTAATGCAATCCTGTCACCATGTTTAGTTAATAGTCATGGCAAGAAGAGATTACTTGGGGCCAGGAACAGTGGCTCACGCCTGTAATCCTAGCACTTTGGGAGGCCAAGGTGGGTGGATCACCTGAGGTCAAGAGTTCGAGACCAGCCTGGCCAACATGGTGAAACCTCGTTTCTACTAAAAATACAAAAATTAGTAGGGCATAGTGGTGGTCGCCTGTAATCACAGCTACTTGGGAGGCTGAGGCAGAACTGCTTGAACCCTGGAGATGGAGGTTGCAGTGAGCTGAGATAGCGCGCCACTGCACTCCAGCCTAGGAAACAGCAAAAACTCCCATGTCAAAAAAATTAAAAAACAAAAACAAAACAAAAAAGATCACTAAGAAACAAAATCCTACATTATGAAAAACACTCACAGAATGTGCTGTTGAAATTTTCTCAGGAGGGACAAAAATCATTCATGGGTAATTAAGTCTAACACACAACAGCCCAGAGAATTCCCACAAGGACTCTACTCTCATCTCCAGGTTGTTGTGGAATATGTTGATCCCAGAATCTCAAGATATCTTGCAATCAGAAGCCCAGTAACTACCAAGACAACTCCTTACCATCTTCCTCATCGTCATCATCCTCATCCTCATCATCTTCATCATCCTCATCATCCTCATCCTCTGAGGCAGGGGCAGCAGCTGCTGCTTTCATCACTGCTGGTTCAATTTCATCTTCATCCTCATCTTCGTCCTCATCATCCTCATCATCTTCCTCACTGTCATCCTCCTCCTCTTCATCACTGTCTTCCTTCTTGGCATTCTTACCATTCTTTGCCCCCTTGGCTGGGATGGCAGCACCCTTCTTACCAGGGGTTGCTACCAATGCTTTGCCTGGTGTGGCTCCCTTCTTGCCAGGTGTGGCAACTGCTTTGGCTGGTGTAACTGTCTTCTTGGCAGGTGTTGCTGCTGCCTTTTTGCCTGGAGTGACAGCTGCTTTCTTGGCTGGTGTGGCAACTGCAACCTTTTTTGTTGGGGAAACTACCACCTTCTTTGCTGAGGTTGCAGCAGCCTTCTTGCCTTTCTTCTGAGGTATGACAACCTTGAGAATAAATGAAAACCAAACCAGTAAGTCCAGCCCCACACCCAAAAAGATAACCATGGTCCCAGTGAGTGTTAGATTCTGCCAATGCTTCTGGTTCAAGACCACATGCGCTAGACACATGTTAGCATGTTAAACTCCAGGCTTCTGTTATGTTGTCTTAGGTCAGAGCCCTTATTATCAGGTGAATACCCAGCCATAAGGAACCCTTTTGAACACTTAAAATACCTCTGAACCAGACCTCTGAATTCTTGCACCTCATATTTTCCCAAACCCCAACTTTCTCATCTGAAAATGGTAATAGTATCATATTACACGTATAACAATAATGAAGTGCTATGCGTAAATTATTCAGAACCTTACACCTAGGAGGCTCCAAGCATTAACGTATTAAATCATTTGGGGCTCCTATGGTGGATGGCAGTACTGAGTCCAGTGAAGCTCAATTCTTGGGACCTGAGATAAAATGAAGATCAAATAGGCTAAACCTAACTATCCCTTACAAAACTATCACACATCAAAGAGTGAGCATGTTAGTTTGATAAAAGCCATCGTTTAGCTACATGAAAATCCCATAGTTTTATTAGGCAATGTGTGGAAGAATAAAACTTTTATTCAATTCTCAACGAAAAACCTGAGCACAATTCAGTGCTCAGATGTCTTTACAGTGAGCAAATAAAAGGCCAAGACTGCCAAAGAGTAAAGAGGGTCAATGTTAACACAAAGAGGTGGCAGCCCTCAGTCTACACCAAAGATAACTATAACGCAGTGAGTAGAATTACAAAGTTTATATATAATGGAATGGAGACCAATTAATCTTAATTGGAGGCTAGGAAAGGAATCTGGGAAGGTTATCCTCAGATCTGAATACAATGCCCAGCTCTACATGTCGGGGTGAGGCTAACATGTTGAAACTGGAAAAATTTAATGATTTAACACAACAAATCACACTCCTTGCCCTGCAGAGGCACATGGAAAGGAGATCCCCAGACCTCTTGTCTCAAACTCACATTCAAATACTTAGCCAAATGACACCTTGACATGTCAGTGAAGAGCTTGTGAAACCACCACTACAATAGGACATACCTGGATGAATAAAATCTTATTTTAGCCACAGACATCCAATTTCATGTCTTAACTCTCCATTGTTGTAGTTTTAACACAATTCTGCATTAAGCTAGATAAAATTACCTCTTCTCCACTGCTATCATCTTCTTCATCTTCTGACATTTCTTCATCTTCACTATCTTCTTCTACCTCCTTTGGAGGAGGAGCCATTTTCTTGGGGTCACCTTGATTTTTACCTGCCTAAAATGGACACAAGTAGGTCATTACACCTCCACCTCAACATTTCAGGCCATTCATATTTTGCCATTACTGTTCATAGTAAAACGCCATCATCTCTCCTTTCTCAGATCCATTTCTCATAGTGCCAAACAGCACAACATCAAAACGAGTCCTGATGGCAATGCAAGATGGACTACTCTCAACCGCCCACAATTTTCCTCCCGGGCTTCACAAACAGAAAACCCGCCCGAAGGTAAGAAGTAACTACCTTGGTTTTCTCATGAACATTATGCTTTTCCCAGCAAGACAACCCCGCCCCTTAAAGAGGCGGCGCGGCCACGTGGGGGTACCTGGTAGGCCACCACGTGCCCGAAACACGGCGCAAAAGGCACGCGGCAGAGCCACCTTCCGGGGCCCACCACGTGTCGGCTTGCCAGGCCAGGACTCCGACTAGGGCCGATACCGCCATTTCCTGGCGCAAGGCACCGGTGCCTCTGGAGATTCCAGGACCTACGCGGCGCGGCCCACGTGGCAGGCCGCGCTCCCGGGCACGTGCGTCAGGAGTCGGGTCCCGACTCGTATGCGTCGCAGGAGTTTGGTCTCATCTCCCCACCCCGGGGCCCAGCGCCCCCTCCCCGCGCTCAGTGACTCCGTCTTTCCCGCCGCGTTCGCCGCCCCCAGCACCTGCAGAAGCTCTTCACCTCGCCACCAACTAGCCAGAAGCCGCGAGACCTCCCCACTAATCGCGCGAGACTTCCCGCAGCATGGCGCCCTAGAACGCGCCCGGGACTGCGCGCAGGCCCTCCTCCCCGCGCCGCCGCGCTCGCCCCTCGGAGAGCAGGCCTAGACGTCTGCGCTCGCGCTCAAGGCCGTTTACCTTCGCGAGCTTCACCATGATGGCGGCTTATGGCGGCGGAGTGTGGAGCGGAGAAGTGGCGCAGATGAGTCCAGAGGAAGGCAAGCGACGGCGATGGCGGCCGCGGGTGCTGAAGATCCCGGAGCACGTACACTCGAAGGCCAGCGAGAGCTCGAGACTGAGGCGAAAGACTGAGCCTGCCCAGTAATCGCCTGTGGAAAGGCGACGACGGCGCCCTCGTGACTCCGTGCCGACCAACCAGAGCTCGCGGCAGTCCCCCTGAGCCAATCGCGAGCCTCTAACCGAGAACGGCGCGGGGCGGGGAGTGGGCGGGCCGAGGCGGCCACGGGAGGGGGAGGGGCTGGCAGCCGTGCCGTCGGGGCGGGGCTCGCTTTGTGCAAGGCCGGCGCTGATTGGGCCGTGGGCGCGCGGGTCCCGGCCTGCGCCGTGGGACTGGCGTTTTTGGCGCCGGCTGTGAGGGGACTTCGGGGGTGGTGGAATCGGGCGGTCTAGGGATCTCCAATGTGGCTGGCTCCCTAGGCTCGGGCAGCCTTGGAGTTCCTCAAAGACCCCGCGCGCGGCCCCGGCACGCACTCACGCCGGGGCTCCCGGTGGCCCTGGAGAAAGAAGCCCGCCAGCCCCGGAAGTTCAGGGACCGCGGAGTTCCCGTTGGCCCTTTCGGAGGCACAGCTCAGCCCTGCTTGCCCGCGAGCATGGGACTGGAGACACCCCCGGCTGCAGGCAGCCTTCTGAGAGCCGTTAATAAAGGCAGTCGCGGGTCTGTGCGAGGTTTTTCTGTGAGAAATGCACGAACCTCCCCTACCCCACAGAACCTCAGGCGGGAGATATTTCTCGTCATGGGGAACGGCCTCGGAGAAGTAACTTTCTGGCCTCACAGGGCAAGGAGAGGGGCCTGGGCGGGCCGACCGCAAAGCCGGGCCTTTGACCGCCCACAGGTTCCCTGGTTGTTATTTGCGTCGAATGCGCCAATTAAGGTGGTGGCTGCTAAGTCAGTGTCACCAGATGGCTCGGGAGCAGGTCGAGAGCCACCGGCAGGGTTCCCCGGCGGCAGGGCGAAGGAGGCCGGAGTGACTTCCACGGTTAGCTTTGAGGGTGGGCCTCCCTCGATGCCGGGCTTAGCAAACCAGAGCATTTCCCTCCGTCCAGGGCCTGCCTGGGATCCATCCAATCCATGGGTCCAGGTATGGATCCATCCATACCTCATTGTTCCTACAGAACCAGGATACCTGCAGCTACGGCGGTACTTGTTAAAAATCACCTCAGGCGGGGC